TTTAATAAAAAAAAATTTACTTAGTTTAATACTAATTAAAAATATTATTTAATTTAGAGAAATAGCAATTTAGTATAATAGTTTAGTTATTATTCTCTCCAATAGCAGGTCTAGAGTTTGAATTCTATGAACAACAATTTTGAAAATTAGATTTATATTATAGTAATAATTATCAATTATTGGTTGGATTTAGAAATTTGTAATCTTGGTAATACTATTTACTTTGGTACAAAGAAAATTCAAGAAACTAGAATAACTAAAACCTATTTGGAATAAGAAAGTAGCAATAATCTTTGATAGTGCTATAGAAAGGCTAAACTTGAAACCAGAAACTGGGATCAGAAAACTAAATAATCAGATCCTTAAGTAGAGAAATATACTAGCCAGATGCAAGCCAGAAAAAAAAAACATATACTTTGAAAGCATATACTAAGAGGAGAGTAACTATGAGACATCTAAAGCCTGAGCAAGACAAACCAACCCTTTTAGGCTACTAACTAAAAGTAAGAAATGAATTAATAAAGAATTTGAGAAAAAAGAAAGCTCAAATATAAGTACTAAGTTGTTGTGAACCTTATAAAGACAAGAAGTAATAGACAACTAATTAAGAAGGTTGTGGCTTGAGTAACTGTGAAATAGTAGTATTACATAAGATACAAATATAGTACAGCAATACAACATGTACTAGTTAGAAAAAAATTACCAAATATGCAGATAAATATATAGTACAGTAGCCTATCATTAGTGCTTGGCAAAATCAAACAAAAACTCGATTATCGAGTTTTTGAATCTATCGATTTATAGTATTGTGCTTCAGTTATAAAATCCATGTTTACTCTAAACTGACTTTAAACTTCATATTAGTTACCACAAAGTCTAAAGTAAGATCAGATTTCTGTTAGATTTATATACATACTAAAAATAAAATTTGTATTTAATACACAATATTGTATATTAATAGATTCAAAAACTCGATAATTGAGTTTTTGTTTGATTTTGCCAAGCACTACCTATCATATTATTGTGGACACTTTTTAAAAATTTATACAGAGCTAAATCTATAAGATATTAAGCTAAAAATTAAATTATAACTTCTTAAAATCTATATCTTTTAAATAAAAAAAATTTTATAAAATTCTATACTACAGTTTTTAAAATAATCAAGTTTAAATAAAATTTTAAATTTTTATATTAACCCGATTTTCTAAATTTTAATATAATTTCATAGTAACTAGATTTACTAAATATAATAATATATAAATTTAATTTTTCTATTAATAAACTAGTAATTTTTTTTAAATAAAGTTATTTAATATGATAAATTGTATATATTTTAAATATTTTTTAATTTTTTAAAAATTATTTAGTAAATTACTATATATAGGGGGCAGTTAAAGCAAGGTACATCACAGGATTACCCGATGATCAACGATCACCGAGTAATCCCGTGATAAAAAAATATATATATTTATTCGACAAATTTTTTTTTCAATGACAATGAATTATAATAAAAAATAGCTTTTTTAAAACTTGTTTTCGCCAAGAATTTAAAAAATAGAAAAAAGAAAATTGACGTATTTTTTTTTATACAAAAAACTAATCACTATGAATACGTTTTTTTTTTCTTTAAAAATAAAACTTGCCTGCTTTTAACATTGATTATAAAATGGACAGTATAGTTGAGATTTTAGAAATAGAAAGTAATAAAGAAAACTTGATAGAAACATCTATGGTACGTAAGACACTATATTAATCGCGTGGATTTTTTTTTATATTTTTTTTTTCACATCTAATATAGTATAGTATCATACTTATATAAATACTATATGTATGGTAGATTATAACTCCAACAAACAATGAAATTCGAACATACGATTCATCTCAACTTACTTCTAATCAAAGGCGTGCACTTCTTTTTAATATTGGCCAATCATTTGAGGTTTCAATACATGATTTTGATAGCGAATGGTGGCCTCTCGTTACCAATATTTGGACCAGGTACAGTTCAAGAAACCATAATAATGGTAATCAGATAACTACTTTTACATGCCGTTTTACCAAACACAACCCATCGAGTATGCGTAAGGAGGGGTGCCAAGTGAGAAAAGACGAAAAATGAAGATTCGTCTACCAAATCTATGCCATGCAAAGATCAGGGTCTTATGATTAGTTACAGAGCAGAAGGTGCTTATTGAATGATTTCAAAATAGTCCTGACCATTCTCATACAATAGAGGGAAGCGAGATGTTGAAATATTCAGAACATGTTCGAACGTTAGTGGAAAAGGAAGCGATTAAAAATTACCTGCCGCCAGTAATTGTTAGTGCAATCAAAGAGTATACAACCGTAGAACTAGGTCTTAGTGATAGTGTTAAAGAATTAAGACGAAGAGAGGTTTCTAATATTAAATATAAAGTTCGCAAGTCACAAAACATACACTTTATCGGTAACAAAAGCATGGAGTTAGATATAGAAGAATCTACAGTTTTTTTAAAAAATAAAGGGTACCAAGTAGAATGTTTTGAAATTCTTTATCAATTGACTTGTGGGTTCGTTTTTGTTCATCCAAGTCAGTTAGAAAATCTTCGGCGGTTTGGATGGTTAACGTTAATAGATTCCACACACAAAACGAATAAGTATGATTGGCGCTTATTTACATTGTATCATGGTTCTTGGAACATTGGGGCGCATTTCTATGTGAGTAAGGAAGATAGTAATACTGTAGCAGAGGCCTTACGAATAATTTGACGGTTTGAATGTGCTTGGAAACCTCGGTACTTCCTTACAGACCAAAGTAATGTAGAAGCCAATGCTATTTCATTAACTTTTCCAGGTTTATCGGGAGGCGAGCAAGAGTGTAATGTCATTTTTTGTACAGTTCACGTTATGCGCACTTGGATGACTAAGATTTATGACAAAAAGGCTTGAAATAAAATAACCTAGGCAATGCATAAAATAACAAAAATCAGATGTGATGAACTTATTAAGGAGGCAATTAACAAATGTCAAATTCCTGCTGTTAAACAATATATATCGCGGAAAATACTAATCAATGGGCCCTTTGGGCCCGTAAGCACTCTCCTCTCCTTTTACAAATAACCTCGACAGATGCTATTGAATTATACCACAGTGAACTAAAAAGAATGACTGTTTCTTATCATGGATTAATAGGTAATCTGTTATTCAAAATCATGAAGTATTTTATTTAATGAATTATAAAAAAATTTATTACATTGTGAATAAGTAGCTATTAATTTATACTAATTAACATTTTTTTTTTATTTAAAAAAAATTAGGCGCTTGCAATCAAATTATTGCCCTCGATATGAAAAAACGATCAGATGCAGAACATACAGCCTTCGAGTTTCGCACTAAATGAATCTCAGTTATCGGTGTAGACTACGAAATTCTCGACCAAATTCTTAAACTATCTTTTCCTTTCCAACAATTAATTGTTATTAAGATACATGCCGTTAAAAAAAGAATCGAAAAAGGCAAGAAGGCACCTGGCTTGCTATCTCTTAATTGCAATTGCTTTTTCTTCCGTCGATACTTATTATCTTGCCAACATATCTTTCACGAACACCTATATGGAGAAAACAAGTTATTGACTGTTAATGCTTGGGAAATGTTTCAAAATATGTTTACAGAAAACAAATTTGAAATATATACAACCCGTGAGTTGGTGGAAATAGAATTACTTGAAAAAACAGAAATAGAGAAAGCTGCAGAGAACCGACATTCAGCTGTATACGAATTAATCGAGAGAACACGTAATGCTTATTGGAGAATCGAGGAAGAAGAAGACATGAGACGAAAATCTTCATTTGTTGATACATTGAGATCTTTGTTAGAATTTATTTTAAATTTACAAAAGTAAAAATGAAAATAAAAAAAATAAAATAAAAGAAAAAAAAAAGCTCCAATTCGAGGTATATGGATTAGTGAAAGAAAGAAAGGACAGTGATGGTGATAATGTAACGTGAGCAGCAATGAATAGGACTAAGGTTCATGATCCACAAAAAAAGAATAGGGTTTCTTAAACTAGGTTTAATTCAAAAGATGATTTAGACGATTTTTTGATAAAGCAGAATTGTAATATTATGCAAGACTAAGAATGCATTGGTAAAGATACACAATTTTTACATTCTAGATGTTTAAATAAAAGTTGAAGTATTTTATACTTATGGTTTAATTAATATAAAAAAAACAAATTATCTTACAAATGCCCTAACGTTGATAATTGCAAAATGAGTTTTGCTTATCGCATAAATTCCAAAATGAAGTAACATTAGAGCCATCTCCGCTTCTCATGAAAAAGTAATTAAATTCATATGGGTTATCCATCACTGAATATGTATCATTTTTTGTATCAATCCATAAAGCAATCTCCTTTTGTATATTTCATTAATAATTGTCAGCTTTAAATTATTTAAGATAAAAGAACAGCTTCCAAGTTTCTGGTTCTACAATGTTATTAAATAAATTAGACGTAGATAGTATATTACATAATAAATTATATGCATGTTAATTAAAATACGTATGATATATTATATACATTATAAATAAAAGATTTGAAACTAATATTTAAAAAATATGTTAAAAAATTAAAAATTATTTTTCTTTTAATTAAAAAAAAAATTTTTAAAATTTGTACATTTTTTGATATATACACAATTCAAATTTTTTAAAATTTATTCTAAAAAAACTTTTATTTAAATAAATAAATTTTTTTAAAAAGTAAATCCGAAGTATTTTACAGTTAAATTCGCTCTGATATTAAGAGATAATAATAGAATAATGATAACATATAAACTGTTATCTTGGTGTCTGAGCTGTGCTCGTTAATTCAAGTCGACATATTCTATAATAAAAGAAAAAATTTAATAAATAATTGGTAAAACAAACATAGTCTTATATTATGCTGCTTATTATACTTAATTTTTGCATAATAGACTATTGCAAAAGATTATTGCCAACTCAGTGTTCACCCGACACGTTTATGAGCTAGTACTGCAAGCAAAAAGCCGTGGTAATAAACTAAGATTGTCACTTCGATAAGGCATAGCAAATACCTTTTCCGGTACAGGTGGGCCATAAGCGAGCAGCAACAACCTTTCATTTACATACATAATACTAACCTTTAATCTTCTGCAAATATCTGACTTGTGGTTGTATTGTCAATGCTTTAATCGACATTAATATATTCCCAATTTTTGATTGTCGTTTAAATTATTGTAGGCTTGAATTTCTTTATAACTACGGTAGAAGATATTGGTTCATTTGTCTATTACCAGGCGTTTAAGTATGCGAGAAAAAAAAAAATATATAAAAAAATAAAAAATCCACGCGATTAATATAGGCCTTACGTACCTTTCTTTATCACTTTCTATTTCTAAAATCTCGACTATACTGTCCATTTTATAATCAACATTGAAAGCAGGCAAGTTTTATTTTTAAAGAAAAAAAACATATTCATAGTGATCAGTTTTTTGTATAAAAAAAAAATACGTCAATTTTCTTTCTTCTATTTTTAAATTCTTGGCGAAAACAAGTTTTAAAAAAGCTATTTTTTATTAAAATTCATCGTCATTGAAAAAAAAATTTGTCGAATAAATATATATATATTTTTTATCACGGGATTACCTAGTGATCGTCGATTATCGGGTAATCCCGTGATGTACCTGGCTTTAACCGCCCCTATATATAGTAATAAAATTACTACATTTGGCAATTTGTTAATTTTATTTTAATAATTTAACTTCAACTTTAAATAATCATATTTTATTTAAAATTTTATAAAAATTTTTAAAAATTTAGAATTAAATATAATTTGTTATACTGAACAAATTTTATATAATAATAAAGTATAATTTACTTAATAAAAAATTAACTTTTAATATATAGTAATTATATACTAACTAATTTTTTAAAATTACTATTTTCAGTTTTGTATAACATTACACAAAATTTTGTAATTTAATTATCTCAAAAAGTACAGCATAGAATTTTATAATCTTTTTTTTATTTAAAAGATATAGATTTAAAAACTTTATATTTTAATTTTTAGATTTTTATCTTATATATTTAGCTTTATACAAATTTTTAAAAAGTGTCTACAATAATACAATAGGCCATTGTAAAATGTAAAATAAATGTAAAATAAAATAAAATAAACATAAACTGTGTAAAATAAAAGTAAATAAAATAAAATAATTAAAAGATGCCGTAGTTAAAAATAAATTAAATCAAATATAAAATATGCAAAATAAATTAAATTAAATTAGATATAAACAATGTAAAATTAATAAAAAATAAGAGGGTGTGGTGACTTAGTGAAGTGGTAGAGTTGTCACACCCAAGCGGCAGGTTTAGAGTTCAAATCTCACAGATGACAATTTTGAAAAATGGATCTGCGTTTCGGTTAACGGTTGTCGATTATCGGTTGAATCTTAATCTGTAATCTCGGTTATACCATCTAGTAATGGGAGCTCTAGCGCAATAAATTCGAGGAATCAGAATAACCGAAAACCCGTTTGGCAAGTCCCAAGTTGGGATATAGCAATGATCTTCGATAGTACCACAAAAGGGCTGAATTCGAACCGGGGCTCGAGATTGGAGAACCGAGCGATTAGGTCCCAAATGGCGGAGGACATACCAGCCGAACCGCCGGGTTGTCACACCAGAGGAAAAGGTCATACGCTCTGAAAGTATGAACCAAGGGAAGGGCGTTCTTCAGGCACCTAAAAGCCTGGGCAGACCAACCTATCCAGGTTGCGGCTGGAAGTAAGGGAGAGACCGATAGAGAATCCAGGTAAGGAGATGATTCCAAATGCGGGTACTGGAGTTGTTGGGAACCTTACAAGAACAGGGAGTACATAACGGGCGACTAATTAAGAAGGTTGTGCTTGAGATATGGATTGTGTTACGGCAGCACCCCAAAAGGTGGCATGAGATACGAACACAATGGCGGCAAGACAATATGTACTAATTGGGAAGAAATTACCGAACATGCAGGTGAATACACGTGTGGGACGTGGACCACTCTGTTAGGTTTACCTCGTGGATAGATTAGCCTCATTGGGGTTAGTAAGTCCTAAGGTGGGTGCAAAATCAGATTAGGCAATAGTGAACTACCTGTGTATAGTAAGCTATGCCTCAGGTTAGTTAGTATGCATTGGTTTTGAAGTAGGTTATAGTCAGAGGGTTTAAATAGGTACCCCCTAGTTGGGGTACAGGTATGGCAGATAGTGTAGAACCTTCGGGCGGACTATTTAAATTAGGCACTCAAAAGGTGCATGTGTGGCTATATGTACCCTTACTATAATTAAAAAACATAACTATCTAATAAAATGTTTCCCGGCCAAAGAGGTCACCTTAATACCAGAAAAAAAAAAATAATAATAATAATTATTTATACTATTTTAATAAAAGAAGATAACTAGAAATCACTACAGGTGATTATTATCTGTGATTTATAATACATAAAAAATAATAATTAATTTCTATTAAATCAAAAAAATTAAACCTCTTTAAGATTAGAGTAAAGGTAAAGGTTAGAGGTTAGGATAAAGTGTTTTATATAGTAAAATTTAGCAAAGAATTTTTTTTGTTAGAGCTTAAAAGATAGTTTCATAGACAAAATTTGAGATATGAGTGTTTTTTTAAAAATTTTTTGGTTTTGTTATACAAAATTGATTTATACATTACATCCGAGCCTGAATTTTAATTGGCAAATTAACTACAGGTGATAATCACCTGAGGTGTAAATTAGCAATTTCCTTAATAAAAATATTGAAATAAATAATTAATAACCAATCTAAAATCTAATTGAACAAAAAAAGAAGTAATAAATTAATTAAGTCAAAGATGTTCTTTTTTTCAGTATTTAGTGATTATCATATTACACTATTCTATATATAACTCTATAACCACCTGATTAAAATTTTTTTATTAAAATCAAAAGAAGTTGCATCAATTTTTAAAAAATTTGAACAAGAATATTTCCATAGTCACCTAACCAATTTCTAAGAAGTTTTTTTATTTGAATTCTATAAATCTACAGAATTCAAATAAAAAAAACTCATATGGTATATATGGTACGGATCAGAAGGTTTAAATGGGTAGTTCTAGTTTGGGCTACAAGTACAGGCATCTAGTGTAGATAGTGCCAAAAGCACAGTGGCTAGTTGTATCTTTATTGTAACCAGTATCATTAGTTTCTAATAAAAAGTCACTCTAGGCCAAAGAGGTTATCTTAACACTGAAAAAAAATAAAAAAATAAAAAAAACTTATCAAATTTAATTAGATAGTCATAGTAATATCTTCATTTACAGTGTCAGACAAAAGTAAGTTCGCACTCTTAGCTTCTCACTGAAAGGTTCTATAGCCTTGAAACTTTCCAAAAGCTTAGTAAACAATTAGTCTAGATCAAGTATTTTTTTTGGTAATTTTTTAATCACTAGAAAAAATTTTAATGAGAGCTAAAGTTTTGAATAGTTTTTTGATAAAAAATAAAAAAAATTAATTGGGTTCAGTTAAAAATTAATAAAAAATCAAAGTTATGTTCAAAAAATTTAAGACTTTATTATGTTAAAATTCAATGATTTTTATAATAGTGACAAAAAATTTAACTCAATTTGATGAGATAGTTATTAAGAAATTAATTTTTAAAGTTTAAATTTTATATTATGACATACCATCAAAAAAATTTCGTTACAAATAGGTTTTTATTAATTTTACTATATAATTAATTATTAATTATATAGTAAAATTAATAAAAACCTATTCGTAATAAATTTTTTGATAGTATGTCATGATAATAAAATTTAAACTATAAAAATTAATTTCTCAACAACTATCTCATCAAATTGAGTCAAATTTTTTGTTACTATTATAAAAATCATTGAATTTTAATATACTAAAGTCTTAAATTTTTTGAACATAACCTTGAGTTTTTATTAATTTTTAACTGAACCCAATTAATTTTTTATTTTTTATCAAAAATCTATTCAAAACTTTAGCTCTCATCTAAAATTTTTTTTAGTGATTAAAAAATTACCAAAAAAAACATGATCTAGACTAATTGTTTACTAAGTTTTTTGAATGTTTCAAGGCTGTAGAACCTCTCAGTAAGGTGCTAAGGATGCATATTTACTTTTGTCCAACACTGTAAATTAGAGAAAATCAAATTAGCTATTAAAAATAGAAGCTGTGTCAATTTTTAGAAAAATTTGAGCAAGGATACCTCCATAGCCACCTAACCAATTTTTAAAAAGCTTTTTTATTTAAATTCTATGAATCTACAAAATTCAAATAAATAAAAACTCATCAATTTGATTAGATAGTCATGGAGATATCTTCACTTAAAGTTATAAAAAATCAAACTAGCTATTAAAAATAGAAATTGCATCAATTTTTAGAAAACTTTGAGTGAGAATACCTCCATAGCTACCTAATCAAATTCCAAGAAACTTTTTTTATTTAAATTCTATAAAACTATAGAATTCAAATAAAAAATTATCATCAGATTTGGTTAAGTAACTGTAAAGATATCTTTACTCAAATCTTTAAAAAAATTAGTGTAGCTTCTATTTTTGATATTGAACCTAGATGCTATACAAAAAACGCGCAGCAGATCCTTGATTTTAATTGGCTAAAACAAATTAAGCTGGAATTACTCATAATTTTACTAATAAAATCACAGCTGCCTATTAAGTGAAAATTGTTCTTGGATCAATTTTACTATAATGTGTATTTATTTTTTAAAAATTTCTATTTTTGTAATAAAAAAATTAAAAAGTTAATTCTTGTCAAAATTTAGTAAACAATTTTGTAATGCAGACCAAAATTTCAAGATCTTTAGCTATTAGCCAATCAAAATCAAGAATCTGCTATATATTTTTAGTGTAGCATTTAGAGTAAATTATTTTTGAATTAACTTTAGATACCGCATAAAAATGTGAAGCAGATTCTTGATTTTGATTAGCTAATGGCTATGGATCTTCAAAATTTTGACCTACATTACATAATTGTTCACTAATTTCTGGCTAAAATTAACTTATTAATTTTTTCATTACAAAAATAAAAATTTTTTAAAAATAAGCCTGCATTATAATAAAATTAGCCCAGAAACAATTTTTACTTAGTAGGCAGCTACAATTTTATTAGTAAAATTATGAGTAATCTTTGTCTAATTTTTGATCAACACTTTTAATAAATCAAAATCATGGATCTACTATATATTTTTTGTATAGCATCTAGATTTAATTATTTTTAATAGCTAGTATTATATTAAAAATTTCTTGTCTAATATTTTTTATTTATTAGTTAGCTCTACAATATTATAATTTGATTGTTCTCCTTGATTTTTTTTAAAAGCTTTAACTAATTATAGTTTATCTATTTCTTAAATTATAA